CTTTGCTTGATGAAATTATAGCATTTTTTCGTGTTAATGACGTCAAGCGATAACGTCATACAATGACGTCATAGAATGTGTTATTTTCAGGTTTGGGAAGGCTTAATACTCAATACGAAAGCGATTTAATTACTTTTGTTCGTCATTTTAGAGAACTACTGAATTTCCCTAGCAACGGATATGTCAGTACACCCTTAACCCCCTTTTAATGCTATTTTCCTGAGCAAACAGGGGCTTATCCATAGTTGTGTCTACAGGGATATGCACACAAGACGTTTGCCGTTCTGCGGTCGGTTATAACAACACATATAGAAATGAAGCAATCAATTTAAAACAGGCTAGTAGTTCCCGTAAGGTTATTTTTGTACCTGATTGGCATAGTATTTCACGTATCATTCGTGGAAAGTCGCTTTCCATAGAATAAAAAGTGTTCGTGGAAAAGACGTTGCTGGGATTTGAAGCAGTTTGGTATAGTTCAAAAAGGTCAACATCACTTCCAATACCACAAGCATAAATCTCCACTCCACGGTCCTTTAAAGGCTGAGATGCGGAAATAACATCATAAGAGCCACTAGTCTGCACTCCGTCTGTTATAATTACGGCAATCTAGACGAATAAAAGGAATCATTCATAATTATAGCGTAGTCTCGAAACCTCATCCGAATGACAAAGTAATAAATTTACATATATAAGGGACTCCTTGCTGCAATCGCATACTTCAAAAAATGGTAGCATTACTGAGTTATGGCCAAKCTCGTACCCAGATCCCGCGTTACTTTTGGTCTGCRACAAAGAACGAGAGCTCTGGAAYACACGAAAATTTCCCGCTCTCTGACTGGCTCATAAAATAAACATACTTGCCGCCGGAAGTGAAAATATCACCGAGAAAAACACTTAAATCATTCTGTATTTCGCTACCTCACCTTGAATTCTTCCTTTAAAATCATTTATTAAGTCTCTGAATTGGGAATTTGAGAGAAATAGGATCAATGAAACTATAAAATGTAACAATAATGTAATACATCGTGGCGACGAACATAGTTAACTATAAAGTAATAAGAATATGATATATTTATCATTTAAGGTCTAATAATCACTTTTCTGAGTGCGAAGGCTGTCTTTGCGCTGTAAACCGAAAGTCCAAGAAATTAGAGCTCAAGTTCTTTGTCGCAGACCAAAAGTAACGCGGGCTCTGGGTACGAGATTGGGTTATGGCTAGAAAATGGATACATTTATAATGCGCATGCGCGAGACCAAAATGGCTTCTAAAATTTTTGAGATAATTATGAATTTTTTTTCATAAGAGAAAAACGTTTTTGATTCATATAATACATTTAAGTATACCGAGTTTTCATCGTAGAACTTTGCATATTTAAACAAAAAATGATTATCATCTATGCATATCGAAAACAAAACTGTAGCGCTGAGTTTCGAGATTATGCGGACAAACAAGTCCAACAAGCTAATTCCATTTAGTATAAACATACTAATTGTCTATCACTCATACTGCACTGCGATTGGCTACTCTACTAATGGTCTAATTTGTGATAGACCACTCTCAGGAAAATCAAAATGGCGGTATCTCATTAATGAATTATTTTAAGGATATTTTAATCTGTTTTCATTATTTGACCGATAAGTATGTTTATACTAAAACAATTAGACCTCTCGGCCTCGTGGACATGGGCAATTAGCTCGTAGTCCACTCGACCTCGAGGTCTAATTGTTAAATATCATCAGTTAGAGCCATATAGCTAGTGTTTATTCACTATAAATTTAACTATATGCATACCTTTCGAACCTCATCTGAAGTTCTCATCCCTGCTGAGCTTTTGAAAATTTCCCGGTACGCTAATTCCAAAGCTCTATCAATATACGTAAGGCCTTTTTGAAACCGCCTACGATTTATCTTTCTACTGTACAACTCAACTGTCTCAGATCCGTATAGGGTGTGAAAACCAAATACTATTTCAGGTCTTGTGCTGAAGTGAATCATTGCCACGTGGTTCCCATCAGCACTAACTGTAATCTCTTTGATTGTATCAATTAGAACATGTTGAACTATATTCCAATTACGCCTACCAATGCTTCCTGAAGAGTCTACAAGGAATGCAATATCCACTTTCGTTTCACATTTGACTGAAAATAGAATAGAAAAAATATTGCATATTCAATCAAACTTCTTAAAATATTTTTAAAATGTGTTGGAGGTCACGTGATCATGTTTTTTTTAACACACACATTTTTAATTCAGGTTGGAACCGAATTGTCATTGGACAAGTTATCAAATATATGTAATTTCCATTCCATGGTAGGTTAAAT